AGGATCGAACCCGGGCCGCACGCATGCCAGGCGAGGGTGCTACCACTTGAGCCACATCCCCAGCCCCTAAATCTCTTTTAATTCAAACACAACAGCCAGTTCATTTCATACTACATAAGGTRTACAAAGTAGTGCAGCTGTGAGCAACTGTAGGAACCAAGGCCCCCTGCACCCCAGGAGGGACAGTCATCAGAATGCAAAGGTCCTTGTGGCTATCTCAGATGGCCACAGTTTATCTAGGAGGGAAGAAAGCAAAAATCCTCTTCCCTGGGGAAAGCAGAAACTCTTCAAAAGAGTAACTCTTTAGGAGACAGGGAACAATACTGCCAGGTCACAGACCTGGACCTCAGCATGGCAGTCCTGGCTTTCTCTGGGAATGCTGACTTCTTTTCTTCCCAAACACAAGAGCCTGTGGCTCTGCAGTTAGTATATTCCCAGCACCAAGGAGAAAACAAGACGGAGGCAAGCCCTCCAGTGCCCATCCTTCTGCTCTGAGGCTTGCCAAGTCTAAATATGCAGCCCACTTCATCCACAGACTCCACCAGGAAATTACACTTACCAGGCCTACAAAAATATGCCAGGGAATGTATTTATCACTATGTCTGCATATTGTTCTGCTTGCTGCTAGAGCAGCCACCAAAGTCACCTAGAGTTCCCACGATCAGGTTTCCGGTGCACTTTGCTCCTCCTACACCCAGGAGGAAGCTGTCCATCCTATCTGCTGGGAATGCCTGCAGTTCCTGGGATATTTCATCTACCTGTGCTTATTCCAGAGACATAATCCATGTCCCTGGGAGGAGAAGCAATTTTATATTGTGCCTATTGCATTTGCAGGACTTGAGTATCCGTTACTGATCCCAACCAGGATTTGAATTTTCCTTAGGAAAAAAAGTCAAAATTCATTTTTTGTTTGTTTAAAAAATGTCAGTTCAATGACAGCTGGGTGCAGACTGTGGGGAATTGAGCAACAGAAAAAAAAAAAAACCTGCTGAATAACCAAGTTAGGTCTTTTCATTCTTTGACCCCACACTTTCCTCAGAGAAGGTTGCAGTCACTTAAGTGCAGTCACTTGCTAGGAAGATGAAGCCCTGTGTCATACAACACAGGGAGAGGTCACAGGAGGAGTGGAAAAAAGAACCAGGAAGAATGTGGGCTATGCCTTGTCCCATGGGAGTGGGGAGCGGATTCCTGACTTATCTCTGCACAGAAAGCACAAGCCTATCCCACYAGCACTTCAGAACACCAACTCCACAGCCTGAGGATGCCTGAGGATGCCTGAGATGAAATCCTGCTTCCAACCACCACCTGAGGCTTCACCTGGACCAGTTTCCTCATCTGGGAACTGTGGACAGTCAATGCAGCCACTCCACTGCATGTCAAAGGAATAAGTGAACTAACACACACACAAAATGTTGAGTGTCTGCCTTATGGTCTGAAGGCAAGCTCACAAGGGATCGCTCCTCATTCCAAGTCCATGTGGAACCCATGGAAGAACTCTGTCCTTCCCTTCTCTTGGAACAGCTAGCCCACAAATCTCATCTGAAAATTCTTCTCAGGGATAGACCCTAAGCACTAAGACTATCCCCAGTGGGCCCCAGAATCAAATATCCCCACAACTGATTCTAGAATTGACAATATTTTATGTATGAACASGTTGGCAAAAAAATAATAATAATAAAAACACATGGGGCTGAAGGTATAGCTCACTGACAGAAAGCTTGATTGCCTAGCATATGCGAGGCCCCAGGTTCAATCCTCAGTGCCACAAAAACATTAAATAAATAACTTGAAGACTTATACTTGACTCTGTTGTTCATGATTTAAATGCTCAAAACTAGATTTGAATTTCTAGAATGAATTCAGCCTCTGCACTCTACAAAGTTTCAGACCCTGGTTTTAAATTTGTAGCACCATTTAAAAGTTCTCCTTACCATGACCATACAAGAAAGTGCACACAGAAACTCCAAAAGCAAGTGACAGATTAGCCACACTGAGGGGCAACGGGAGTATGTGGTCAATGTCTGAAATATGTAATGATCATTTACAATTATTTAGAAATGCTGTTTTTATTAAACATATGAGCATCTTGTATGTTTTAGGTCATCCACCACACAAGAGCAAGCAACAAATTGGGAAGTAAGTATATATGACAGGCCTCCGGCCTGGAACCCCCTGGCCAATGATTCCATCCTCGCTCTAGACTTTCCATAGTTGGAACCATCCTCGAGGAAATGTCRGTACAAACAATTTTCTGACAGCAGATTATCATTGATGAGGTTCAGAATCTGCTCAGGCAAGAGAGAGTACAGAGAGATATTGAAGTTGCATGAAAATGAAAAGCCAATACATAGTTGGCTTTTAAACTGTTTTGAAAGCACACCACTGTCAATGGTTCAGCAACACATGTGATGTGTGCAGATGATATACTACGAAAAACCAGCGAAAGCTCAGGAATTCCAAGAATGGAAAATAACCTCACTCGGAAAATGTGAGACTTTTAAAAGGCACAAATGGCTAGGCACAGTGGCAACGCCTGTATATCCCAGTGGCTCAGGAGGCAGGAGGATCGCAAGTTCAAAGCCAGCTTCAGCAATTTAKAAAGGCGCTAAGCAACTCATCCAGGCTCTGTCTCTAAATAAAATACAAAATATGAGTGGGGATGTGTCTCGGTGATTGAGTGCCCCTGAGTTCAATCCCTGGTACTGCCACCCCGAAAAAAGGCACAAGTATATTTCAACAAAAGTAGAATAATTAGGATGAACTGTGGGGCCTGCCCTCTGAGAAGAAAACCTCACATTTACATTGGGAACAATGATTCAACTTTACCTGTAGAAGTTTTCTTACTCACATATTAAATAAAGAGGGCAACGGAGCTGACTTGGAAACAGACACTAGTATCTTTCATCCTGCCAAGGCATCCCCCTTATTTCAGGGGCCTCCAGGTTTTTTTCCAGGTAAAGATACAATTTGAGAAACTTAATTTAATAAATTCAATGACACCAAGCAATCTGTCATTTTGTCATTGACTTGTCCAATCAAACTGTGAAGACAAACTTCTTTAGGCAAATGGTCAAATCTCCCACTGAGTTGATGAGCAACATTATTTATGTGAATTCACCACGGCAGGTGTTTATGAATCACAGGGCTGAGCTGTCCATGGTTAATTTGCTGCTATGTATAAATAAAGTATCCTTTTCAAATAAGCCCTTTAGTGTGTAAGTACTTAGAAACAGACACATTTCTAAATCCACTAGTTAAATATTAAAATCCAATCAGAGGCTGTTTGGGGGTGTTAGTTTTTTGCCTTTTATCAGATTTCTTAAAGAAGGTAACACTGCCACAGAAAAAGCATATGCTGGGAATTTCTTTCCCATCACACACTGCAGCCTCAGGGATGCGCTCAACCTTCAGAGAGCCCTGTGTCTGGGCAGATCGGGTTCTCCTGTCCCTCTGTGGCTCGGGAACGGAATTCTATTTCCCAGCCTGCCTTCCTGGGGCACAAACATGGGACTAACTTCTAGTCGAAGGGTTCTGAGTAAAAGTGGTATCTGTCCCTTCTGAGCTAGAGCAATGAACTGCTGGCTCAAGACGCACACGCTCCACATGCCTCCATTGTGGCCAACCCTGGGTGTACTGCCACCCTGCGCACAAGGACTGGGTGGAACACTGCACCAGGATGTCTGCCARAGACGGCGTCATGATTTAGGAACACTAGTGGCTGAAACCACTGAGATTAAGAAGGGGGCATCGCCCCCCTCCTGCCAGCCCGTTCTGCCTAGYACAGTTGAATTCACCTTCACCCCAAGTTTAACTTCAAAGCTGCTGCATCCTTAGGAACAGGAAGGCAAACCCCAGGAACAGGCAGAATTGTGGGCTCTAGAAATGCTGCCCCCATTGTTTCCAGAACATTTGGGGAAGATATTGGTCAAGAAACCAAAAGCCAGAAGGATGGAACAAGCAAAGTCTTACCTGAATCAAGATCTCCGCTGCCATTAGCTGAGCCAACGTGCTTTTCCGGGGGGGAAGATGAAGGGTCCTGCATGCTGGAAACTGGCAAATTGCTCTCCATTCCTGGTGAGTAAGTGTCCTCTTCCCTTAGTTCATTCTGCAGTGAGAATTATCTAAGAGCAACCAAAAACAAACAAACAAAAAAAAATCAGAGCACTTTAATTACATTAATTACATTGACTTGTTTCTAAGCTTTCCAAAAGTCTTATAATCCCATCAGAGTTGGAACCAACTTGCAACACTAGGATGCAATGTCATCTTGATAACAGAAAACACCAGGAATGCAGACTCATGAGTACATCCCTACCAAGCCAACAACAAAGGCCAGAGCACAGCAAAGCCATCAGTTTTCTAGAGGTCATACTAATAGGGACACATTTTCACCAACAAACAGAACCCACATTTCAATCCCCAGTCCACCATGGTGACTCTCCACTGCCCTCTTAATACTGTGAAGCAGGAGATGCCCCTCACCGCAGCATCCCATGTGTGGGTCCCACAACACAGTGTCTTCACTCATGTGTCATAAGTGCTYGGCCACCAAAACCAGTTCTGGTACCAACATTTGCAAACAGTGTGCTTTCTGCCAATCAGAAATGGGGACAAGTGGTTCCCTGTAATGGCACTGCCATTCCTCACTTGCATTCTGATATGACTGGCAGAAAAACAGAGAAAGTCATAGCCAGTTCCCACAGAATCCTACAGTCTAGCTCATTTATGATGCAGCCTAGGAGACTCCAGGAGCTGTCCCTACCAAGGAGCATCCCAGCCTGACTGGTGGTTAGACACAACCACGTGGGATTTTATGGCTTTTATTTTTCAATGTTCTCTATCATTTCTCCTGTAGATAAAATTTTAAATCAGAAAAAAGGCAAGAACAGATGAAAAAAAAAAAAGAACATAGTATAAGGCATCTTTAAGAACGCCACACCCTTCTTAAGGCACACACACACACACACACACACACACACACACACGTCTTTGGTGCTATTTAGTTTACTTTCCTAGAAAATATTTTGAGGATGTATCAAAATCAAAGGTTCATAAGAGGGTTCATCATTTGGTGGCATGGCAAGGAAAAAGGTGAAAATTGCTGCCAGGAAGAGACTAGAATACTAGGAACCCAACCCTCGGATTTAGTTGCTTGCATGTTTAACTATCCACCCGCTGCATATAACCTACTACACCAGTCCAAGCATCTTCATTCTACAGAGGTAAGTTCATAATCACTCCAACGGAAGGTCAATCAAAGACATAGGGCACCTGTGAACAACCACACCCTCTGTGCATGGGGGCTGGCCATATTTTATCACTCTGAGATGAAGTCGGCATCAATAATATGTACCCAACTTAAATTAGGGCTGTCCAGGAAMTGTGAGAGTATGGGTTAAAAGCAGAGCCTCAGGTGCAAAATGACTCCTTTGGCTTGCTTCAAAACCATCTGCAATAGGTAAACACCATGCCTAGGACCCACTGATACCACGGTGGCACCATGTGGGAGAAAGCAAGCTGGGACAGTCTTTGTCTCAGCTCTCTGGGAGCTTGTACTAAAATAGGGCCAAAAACTATAGTCTACACAGAAAAGACTTGAACCCAAATGGAAACTGGGTTTGCTGCTTAGTAAATTAGTAAATCAAAAACTAAAGTTAACTCCCACGAATCTACAGACAAGCTCAATTTCTGAAAGCTTACATAGAAACATCACTAAATACAGGAACCTACTGAATATTGAATATGGATGGGTTCTGAGATCATTTAAAAGAGAGGACACTGGAAAACAAGTCATTAATTCTTGAGACTGGCTCACTTCACCCTCTGGATATTGGCTTCCTAACATGACCCACACAAAGGTGGAGAGAACAGCGCACTGTCCCAGGAGCTTTCCTTCAAGACTCATCACGACAGGGACACACGCATCTATAGACAGCGACCCCCTCTTCCACAAAAATGAACCCATCTGAGCTGGACACAGTAGCACATGTCTATAATCCCAGTGGCTGGGGAGACTGACACAGGAGGATTGCAAATTTCAAAGCCAGTCTCAGCAACTTAGCAAGGCCCTAAGCATCTCAGAAAGACCATGTCTCAAAATGAACTTTTTTTTAAAAAAAGGGCTGGGGATGTGGCTCAATGGTAAAGCATCTCTGGGTTCAAATGCCCCCCAAAAAAAAAATTGAACCCACCTGAGAAGCAGGTACAGAGGGCAAACATTACCTAACACCAAATGCCAGTGCTTAAACCATCATGGAGGAGCCCATGTGCTACACCTTGTTTCAGATGCTTCCAGAGATCTCCTTCCATATGTCTGCACACGGCAGACCACTAGGGGAACAAGGGCTGCCAGGGGTACTCACAAGCTCTTATGTCCTGCCTGGATTTCACAGTGGGTGGCAGTTCCTACCAGTTTATCCCTATTGCCACTGACAATTAGGGAGCAGTCACGGATGAAATCTACAAAGCACTTGTCCTCCACATAAGCTGTCACCAGCCAAGAACTGCCCATGGGCTGGGGATGCAACTCAGAGGCAGAGCACTTGCCTGGCATGTGCAATGTCCTGGGTTCCATCCCCAGCACCACAAAATTAATTAATTAATTAATAATTACCTCCGGACAAGCAAGTGCTGGTAATAAAMAACATGTGTGCCTTTAATAAAGCATCTTATAGATGCTGACACCACCTGGCTACCAGGACGGACATGATAGCAGTAGGCTGTTAGTTCCCAGGTCCAAGAAGAAAACCCAAGTCACTTGGAGTGGGCAGAGGGAAGGGGGGATATACTGAAGTAGAACAGAAAATCAGAGAGGAAAATGCTCAGAGCAACTAATGATATGAGGAAAAGAAAAAGTCAAGTAGGAGCCTAGGCTTAAGAGACTCAGAGAGTAGAAGATTCTAAACATAGGGCAAACAGTGTAGCAGGTCCTCCTAAAACATCCACAGGACTGTGTGGGCAAGCAGCATTCGTGCCATTCCCTCCAAATACTTGCTGCTCCCCTATCAATGACAGGCACCATTTTAGGCACAAGAAGACACACAGAACCAAACACACACAATAAAACAAAAACCCTGCCCTGGTGGATGTCTCATCCTAATTGAAAGAAAAYGCCAATAAATGTTCTTAAAAATTAGTAAATTATATGATCTGTTGGAAGGTGGAAGAACTATAGGAAAATATAAGGCAGGAAAGGGGACCAACCGAAGGACACGGATCATGCACATGGCTGTCAGRCAGGACCTCAGGAAGTGATGCTCGAACAAAAACTACAGGGTGAGAACAGAGAAGTGGTTGAGCCCAGATGAGAAAAGTGCTTTCCAAAATAAGGACAGAAGCTGCAGGCCCTTCTGCAGGCAGGGGCAATCACTGCAGGATGTCACTGCAGGGAGGGAGAGGATCCCATCTATCTTGGAAGAATCACTCCTTCTCCAACAGCCACGTGCAAGACAGACAGGGCAAGGCCGGAAGAATCAGAGGAAGCTAGGAAGTGCAGGCCAGGATTCAGACAGGGAGAAGAAAACACATGCAAGAAGCATCTGGACAGTGTCATCAACAGAACGTGAGGGAGGGCTGGGGATGTGGCTCAAGCGGTAGCGCGCTCGCCTAGCATGCGTGCCACCCAGGTTCGATCCTCAGCACCACATACAAAGATGTTGTGTCCGCCAAGAACTAAAAAATAAATATTAAAAATTCGAAAAAAAAAAATAATACTTACCTAAAAAAAAAAAAGAACGTGATGGAAACAAGCCTCACAGACAACACAGTCTCTTCCCAGCATGCAGCCACCGTCGCGGGAATAAATGACTTCACTTTCCACAGCCAGCTCTCAGCAGCTAATGGAACCATGGAAATAGGTAATTCCGGAGGAAACATATTAAATATGAGAATGACAAACCACTTCAYAGAAATTTCTATTTACTCTCCTTTTTTGTAAATCCATTTACTTTAAATGGGATATGGTGGGGGCAAGTCTTATTGGTGACAATTGTTCCCTTAAGCTTTGAAAATAAAAACAGGGTACTTCAGCTTGGGGGTGCAGATCATTGGTAAAGCCTTTGACTAGCATGCATGAGGGCCTGGATTGGATCCCCAGTGTTGGGAGAAGAAACACACACACACACACACACACACACACACACACACCTAAACATGATATTTTAAAGAGCAAATCCTTTTCCTAACAACATACCCCAAAAAGGCTACTTTCATTTTTTAAAGGCTATTTTTAAAAGATGTACATTTCCTTTTGATTGTGTGTGTGCTTGTGTGTGTGGTGCTGGGGAKTCACATGTTCTACACAAACACTCTACCAGCAAGCTACACCCAGGCCACCTATTAATTCATAAAATATACTACTGTGACCTCAAGACCAAAAGTAAATGTGTTTACTAATTAAAGCAGGATTTTTTTTTTCAAAGGCACACAGAGAAGGTTCAGAAGGATGGACTTCTAAAGGGTAGCTTCCTGCTTGGACACACAGTTGTGTAAACTGTACTACAACTGGCTCCTCTTGTCTCCAAGGCTGGTGAACAACAGAATTACAGCATCAGAACTTCTTACGAAAGTCACCTGGCCGAGTGAAATGAAGGGTACGCTTGAGAGCAAGGAGTCCCATGGCCACTACCTCGCTGTGTGACATAAACAAATTGCTTAGCCTCTCTTTTCCTCAAATTCCTTACCAGTTAAATAAGGAGGCTTGCTTAGACTCAATCAAAGGAATTTTTTAAATCTAAAATGCCTACAAGGTCTTGCTAGCACTCATTGTATAGTTTCTCCATCAGAACCATTTATCTGAACCAAATTTCATAGAGTAAGACTTCTSCCCTCTCCGTGCTAACCTGCCTCCTTCTTTCACCTGTGGTGTGTTTACAGAACACAAGTAATTTTTAGCAAAGACTAAGCAAAGCCTTGTTAGGAAGGAAARGAGTGAGGAAGAATATTCAATGGATATTACTCTAAAATTAATCAGAAATTGTAGGGCTCTTATCATCTCTTAGCTTTCTATAACTGCATAGTTCAGTATGGGAACCACTAGCCATATGTAGCAACAAGCCACATGAAATTTAGCTAGTACAGTTAGTATCTGAATTTTCATTTTAATGAATTTAAGTCTAAATAG